AGACAGAACTACAGACATTCACTATAGTTATTCACTCTAGTATCTGTTGGTTTTAAAAGTAGCATCCAAATGAAAAAGGCGCGGATTTAAATTAATTATTAGTACTTTATTTCTTCAACTCCTGAACATTATACCTGAACGTTATTTCAAAAGACAGGAGAGCCTTTTTAAAATCCATTCATTTAGGACCAAACAAGTTTATTCATTGAGCTTTTTCGTAGCATGAAATTGAAACTGTAAACCACACTACCTTAGCAGTCAGCTATATATAGGTATTCTATACTGAATAGGCTGAGTAAACTTTATATACAAACACACAAAAGCTAAGAATAGAATCTCGAGCTACGGAATCTTGACACAGGCTTTAAAGTAATCCAATATAAAAGGTACCAAAGTGCTCGAAGAAAAGGGCTGTTATTCTTTGACTTTTTGCTTCTATTATATCCGATATTTTTGTATGCGGGTTTTTGTTATGATCATGAATATTTATAAGTCAGCTCTTCTGCTTCTTAATCTTATTCACATTGAAATTAGTTTTTATTTTTATTTTTTATTTTTTGTATTATGTTTTTGTCATCAGCTGCATAATTTCTCAACTTCAGTGTAAATGACCCATTGTTAGAGATCAGACTAAACGAGTAGGCCCAATTACAAATTGTAAATTACTCACAATTCTATTCACACGTCCCCTTCATCGTAAAGTCTGGTACGCGCGAATTAAGCGGAGCATAGGTTTGTCTACTTCTGTAGTGGAAATTGTTTTGCTTTAATTGATGATATTCAAAATGTTTCATATAGTTATGGATTTTCTGCTTGTCACTATTGTTGTGTATCCGAGCATTGAAAATAGAGATGTTAGATTTTGAGTTCGGATTTTATATGGTTTTATACAGCCCACGTGGTTTGAAATCATGTTGGAGAAACAGAATAAATGGGTTCGAGTTTAGATTAAATTTAAATCTTTGGTTTGATTTAGGGATAGACTATATACGAATAAGCCCTTAGTTCAGTGACGTGGTTGATGGGAGAGCGGCAGGTCCGGGCGCCAAAATTATGGAGCGCCCAGTTGGTAGAAAACAATTGAAAAGTTGATTTGTATATGAATGGCTGATTTATCCATAAATAGACACGTAGATCTGACTACGCTATCCCTTCATATGACGAGGTCGCTGAAGCAGATGAACTCTACTTCATCTGCCCCCATGTGTCTTGGGCACGAACGGGAAATGATGATGAATAATATACAACATAAAAATGTGTCACCTTTAGCAATTTCAGTTTTCTATTTTAAATCCCACCATCACTTTATTTATTTTTAAAAACATTTCAAGAGTCTACTTTATAAAAACACTTGAAATTCTACACATTTAGCCTGTGTTGATCTACAATCTAAAACAATGAGAGCTTTTGCATAATGATCATCAGTAAAATCTTTGTTCGTGTGAGCACGTTACTGCACATTTGACACGCTATGCTTCTCAACGTATCCGGGAGGGTGGGGAGTAGCATTGGTTGCTTCCTGGCAGTGACGGGTTAAAGGCAAAGTTTCAGGCATTTCTTCGAGGAGGGGGGGGGGGGGCACTACCATTGAGAATATTTTGGAACAAAAACTTAAGGGAAAAGCTGACATGGCTCATGGCACTAGCCAGAGGCCCCCGATTGCTAGAAGCTCCCGCCCCCCCCCCCCCCCGCCCCATTGCTAGAGAGCCTCCAAAATATTGCCTTTTGTAATATCTTTTAGTTAGATTATAGACAAAATTATCAGTGTAATAATAGCCTATGGCTAGTTTCAGTCACGGGCCCAGAGTTTTTTTCAGGAGCACGTTTAACGCCTCCTCACCCACGGACTAAATAGAAAATATATACTTTAACCAATGCCCATCCCCCCCCCCCCTCGGAAACTAGTGCATTTTTAATACTATTACATCAGTTTACAACTAGATCTAGATCTAGGTTCTATATTATATTTGGCAGAACATTTGCTTTGTATCTGGCTTGTTCCTGGGATGATCTTGTTTTGGGAGGAGGAATGTTTGCACTTGCAGACTACTCTAGGAACTACGCATTTCGATAAGGATCCTAAGTTTCAAAATAGGTTTCGAGTGCCAATCGCATTATATTAATAAATTGACAGTTTTATCAATATAATATTACATTCTAGACTATAATCTGTTTGTTATTTACTTGTAGTTATAGAATCTAGAATAGAGGGTAATCTATCGTTTTAGGTACGTAAAGTCGTAAAATATACTAAAATCGCCCGCGACTAGTAATGTGAAAAACAGGTGACTCCTTAAATTTTAATAATTATTTCACATTTTCAGGGGGATTTATGTTTTGAAAAATACAAAAATGTTTCCTTGTTTCATTTATGTAGATCTACCTGTTTTTAAACAATTGAATTAAAACTTTTTAGTAATAAATGATGAAGACTAGTGATGTGGGGGGGGGGGGGGCACTTGAAATTTTCGGGGGGGGGGGGGGGGGCGGTAAACTTTCTTCGGGGGGCGGACACTGTTAATCTTGTTTATTTTTTTTTTATTGTAAATTTATAGCGCAATATTCAGGGGCTGCCACTCTAACTTACAGATGGCCGCTTTTTATATAGCATATCTTGCTCACAAACGCTGCTGTTTAAAGTTAATTTCTTGCCTATTATTGATATATTTAGCCATTGATTTAGGTTTATTATTCATTTATCTATAATATTTGACACAAATATATCACAATATACTTTTATTAAAGCCTTGACAATGAGGTAACTTTTTCGGACATTACTAGCCGCGGCAATTTTACGTACCTAAAACGATAGATTACCGAATAGAGAGCCTGGTGTGGACGCTATTACTATTATAATTATTATTTCCTGTGTCTTGCTGAGCATCGTCCATCGATTTTTTTTTAAATAATTAGACTAGAATCTAGTAGATCTCATATCATTTTTATTATTTTAATAAAAATAATTATTTTAATATGATTGTATGTTTGTTACTTTTATTTTTATACTTTAGTGACCTCATTCTCATTCGTTATACTATTCTTAACATTTATAGATAGAATCTAAACAAGTAGCTTAGATAGTTTATTCATTTTATTTTTAAAGCTATAAAATTTGAGTTAAAGTTGAAATGGATTCTTTAGTTGAAGCCATGACACAGAGACAACCTGACTAAACTTCAAGCCAACACAAACACTTAGCTCTCTGACTCACCCAGATCTAGTACTTAGTAGTCTTAACTGCACTACATTACACTTTAATTAAACTGTTAGTTGTGCTAGTTTAAAAATTGCTTCAACTTTAACAGCTGTTAAAAGTCAATTATGTTTAATGCTAAGGAGATGATACTATTGCCAATAACCTTGATATTCTAGCATTGAAAACTTTATGATGGGTTACCAATTTGTAACCTTAAGAATTACATTTGTGGTTGATGTTTCAGTATCAGACTTACTAGCTAAATAAAGATGTGGGTATGAATATAAGAAGTTTTTATTACTGGTTTGATGTTGATTTTTTTTTAAATGTGTCAATATTTGTATGGCTAATCTGGTCATTAAAAAACTTCAATACCAAACCTTAAAAATGAAGAGAAAAAACAGTTTTGTAGGCTCAGCCATTTTAGATTTATCACACCACAACACTAAGATTCATTTCTAGATCTAAGTTATATTTAATATTTTTAGAATAGTATTTAGATTTAAAACATTTTAAACATTTCTTACTTTGCTTTGTTTCACTGTGTGGATATTAATATTTCACAGTAATAGGTTGGGGTTTCTGATGCTGTCATGTTTATCTCTTGTAGGCTGCTATGTTTACTTTTGCATCAATGACATTTAAGTAATACAATTATGTTTACATAAACCATCTTGACATGTAGCTTTCAACTTTTAAATGTGTTTTTAGTGTGAGGTAAAATATACAAATGGGACTATCAGTTCAGCAACAGCACACCTCAGTATTAGAGGTTGTGCAAGTTAACACAGAAATCCCCTGTGTCATGTCTAGTATGATAACTAGCTTTGTATGTTCATACATCTTTGGCACTGCTAATTTTATAAGTTGTTCAAGGAAAAGTTTTTGGACAATGTACATACAGGATAAGCTGTAATGTAGTTTTTATAATTAGAATACTAATATATAGTTTTTAGTTTGACTCTTTACATATTACAGCAGAAAATCATTATCATTTCCCATTCATGCCCAAGACACAAGGGGCTGATGAAGTAGAGTTCAGATAGCAAAAAATAAATGTGTAAAAATGCTGTGGACTAAAAAAGATAACCGACCCTTAACTTAGACAATAATTTCAGTCATTTTCACAATTATGTGCCCTTAGTTTAATACAATAGAACGCTAATAACCTTTTAAGCAACTGGAATATATAACAACATCAAGCTAACAGCAGGTGCACACATTTTTTAGAACATTCTGGTATCAATAGGCCTATTTTAAATAAAGAATGCCATAGTTCTCTTGTGTTTTATGCTTCAGTGATTTTTTAAATTTTATACTCCTGGCTACTGACATTGTGTGCCTTTCAAGAACACACATAGTCTCAAAGTATCTACACACCATAAAAAGGGATTATTTTACGTATGTCTGTTGAGTGTACAGCACACATTTTCTGCACTGTAAAACTGCTTAAAAACTAGGTCTGTGATAAGTGGGTATTACAATTTTATGAGAACCTTAAGTGATCAGACCTGAATCCACCAAGTGGTTGTAAAAATACTTTTCTAGAAACAAAGATTAGGCAAAGTATATATTCCATAGTTATTAAAATACATCCATAATAATTAATACTTTTATTATTTTTTTTACTGTTGACAGAGGATAACTAACATAGAATTCTATGTTGTTATTATTGTTTTCTTACTATTGAAAGACACCATCATATATTGTAGAAATTATTATCCTATTGTTGATAGAGGGTAATTAATATAATAGATAAAATTGTGATTTTCATTAAATGTTTATTTTGTTTGGTCTTTAACAGCTCCTTTTATTTAGTGCCAAGCTGCATGCAATTGATGGCCAAATGGCCAGAGGAAGACCAAAAAAAACTACAGGTACAGCCAAAAGGGGACGCCCAAGGAAAATTAAAGTAATTAAAAGTAATGATGATGAAAGCGGAGATGAAGATGATAGTTTAAAAAAGGTAACTAGGGTAATTAAAAACTGAACTTTTTATTACTATATTTAGACTATCTAAAAATGTTACTGTAGTCATGTCATATTTCCATATTGTCATTAAATAAATCTTTTTTGCTTTCTATAAAAAAAGCTGCTTTTAATGTCTCCTTTTAATAAATAAAGGATCTAAATTTTACAAATGTATATGAAAAATTTACTCTAGATTCATTATTTCTATACATACAGTCTTAGTATTTTTTTTTTACTTTTTGCAATGCATACTGTTCATATACATATGTTAATAATCGGAACAATTAACAATTTTTCAAATGTAGCTTTCATACCATGTTCATGTAACAATACAACATATAGTTAAAGTTATTTTACTACTTAAAATGAAAGTTGGAGTTAAACTTCAATTTCTCTGTGTTGTTTTACATGTGAGTAAGGTAATTTTAGCTATAATATGATTGCCTAAATTCATCTCATAAGTTTGAATAGCTGACTGCTTTTATCTAGAAATTAACCTAAGTTTTACTGACATTTTATTAATTTTTTTTTTTTTTCCAGGCTACCAAAACTACCAAGAAAAAGTCAAATATTTATAAGGATGTTAAATTCAAATCCAAAGCTCCCATTTTGGACACCTGGATTTGTACCAAATCTGAAGCATCCCTAGGCAGCTCCCCATTTGACAGCAGGAACATCTTTGATGTGTCTTTGGTCTCACTGGACAGTGTGGACTACAGGCTCTGTTCTCAGTCCCAGCCCGTGCGGGAACCATCATCCGCCAACGCACTGAAACAAGCCAGGGTCATATTAAGGAGAGTTAAAATGATCAGTGATGCTCACAGTAGGAAAGATCAAGTGAATTCTGATGTAGCTTTGAAAAACAAATCAGCCCCAGCCAAAGATGTGAATGAGAATATCAAAGAGCTGAAGAAGAGCCCTGTTAATTGTAAAAAATTACCAGAAGAGACTTTAAAAGAGGAGAAAACTGAATGTGTTTCTCCTTTATCCCAGAAAGAATCTGATTGGGAAAGTGATTTTTGCAATGGTAGAGAATATGGACCAAGGAGACTTTCTCCTTTGAAAATTCCAAAAAGTCGGATAGTCTTGCCACAGTATGACGACAGTGATGATGATAAAACTCCTGAATATCCTTTACCCGAGGACTCTTTATTTTTGAGTAGAAATTGGGTCTCTAACTCATTAGCCAACAGAAATCTCTTCTCTGACATCTCTTCTTTCACATCACAAAATAAAATCCCTGCAGATGAAATCAAGGGAGAAAACCTAAGGGAGGTGAGTCCCGTAGATGTGAAAGAAGACAAGCCAAAAGTACAAAGGATACAGTTGATCCCAAAGGTTTACTCTAGGTCAGATAAAAATATAAAGTGTGAAACTGTACAGAAAAATGGCATGGACGCTGAATGCCGGCAAGATGAGGCCATTCCTCAGTTATCCCCAGTGCCTAAAGATGGCAGCCTGCTGAGCCGCTCACACTGCCCCTCCCAGCCACCAACGTTGGTTTGTATTGACCATGAGAGCATTCCAGAACTTACCAATGGAAGTTATCATGACTGTTTGGTTACTGACAGTGATTTAATCAAAAAGAAATTAAGTTATCTTAAAAGCTGTGATGAAAGTGTTTCTTTAACGGAGAACAATGACTCGATTAAAGTTGATTCAATGGATACAAAACTAACAATGGGTGAGGAATTTAATTCTGGTGGTCAACCATTGGTTGCCCAGGGAACTAGCTCTTCACCTTGCAGAGATAGTATTGAATCAAGTAATTTAACTGCAGACATGGAATCTGCACAGGTTGAGAGACATGTGACAGCAGTAACACTGAGCCAAGAGATGGCTCCCTGCTCTGGTTCTTGTCTTGACTCTACAGGACCATCTGCTGTTGTTCCTCCAGCTGCAAATTCACCTTTTACTGCTGAGTTAGATCCTACAAATGTGTCCTGTAATCTAGCTGAAGAAAGTCAGCTAAACAGTCTCAGGTTCTCAAATACTTGTCAGGAGGACGACGCAAGAAATATTTCTCTTTCTGAGACTTACATAGCTGAACAAAACTTGATTAACATAATATCAGGAGATTCTGTGGAACACGAAAAATATATTTCTTGTGTTGAAAATGTCGTATGGGAGGGAATTGAAACGAATGTGGAATCAGTACAAAATGAAATGCTATCCCAAGAAAGCCCAATAAATTTTAGTTCTGATAATTTGACATCTTCAAATGTTGAAAGCTATGAGGGGAGAACACATGCTGCACATTGTAGTGACAGGTGCAGTGCAAACATGGTGTGTGACAATGATGTGTTCAACAGAGATGGTAGTTCAGGGTTGAGTCACCTCAGTGTTAACATCACAACTGGTGATACAGGAGCTGATACACGGGGTGATACAGGAGCTGATACATGGGGTGATAGAAGGAGTGAAAGTACAGTTGAGCAGTGCTCAGATTCCATCCTCCCAGAGGCTGCCGACTACAGTCTCGCTGCTCTAGCAGCTAGTGGTGAGAGGAGAAAAAGTCTTGGCTTTGATGCAGATAAGTGCCTGACTAGTTCTTCACACAGTGTTGTACATGTGAACACAGCTTTAGGTGCCATCCCACCATTGACCCGTATAGCAAATAATGAACCCCAGCCTATGAACTTAACCCGGGGTTCTAGCTGTGAGCAACAGAAAAAAGAACAAAAAACTGCACCAACAACACAGAACATGTCCACAGAAAAACTAAACTCTTCTCATGTTTTACCTATGCAGGTTCATAATGTTGGCCCTAAGGAAGTGGTTATGGCTAAAGAAAAACCTTATCCATCAAAATCTCCCAGTTTAGAGGACTATAGAAGTGGTATTAGTTCTAAGTTAAATGGTAAAATAAAACCAGTTAACCCTCTAATAACTAGTGAGCCTGTTTTAACTGCTAGCAAAGTCCCAGAAAACAGTTCGAGAAATGAACAGCATACAGCCGTACCTCGTCATGAAGGAACACATGATAAAACACGTAACAAAATGCAGGTGAGCAGTGCTTGTTCCTTCATTGAGAAACCATTACCAGAGAACAGCACTAGATGGATTCCTAATGACCCTTTGTTTGAGCCAAATCCCAACTTCAGCATGTATTCATCTAGCTCTGAAGAAGTCTTGAGGACTGGTATGGTAGCGAACAACTACTATGGCACTGGTCCGTATTCTGTAGCAGAAGTTCAGAAGAAAAGATCCAGCATGGAAGGACATGAACTTGAAAGCCAGAAGAAGAAGGTGAAAGCCAATGAATATATCAGCAGACAGCACACCCATTCCGATGTAGTTTCTTCTGCTGGGAGAGGTTTCTTGCCTGAAGAAACCTACACCAATTCCTGGGATAAAACACATCAGAACTATCCGCTGCCCCAGCCTGTCTCAACCAATCGGGATATGCTACAAGTTAACCACAGCAAACCTTACCATGGGAACTATCCCGCCGTATCCCTGCAACATCCATTCTTCAATACTAGTGTGCGACTAACCTCCGCTAACTACGTTAACCCAAGCATAAACCCAGCCTACGCTGGCAGTCTTAGCTCCAGCACGTCAGGTCATTCACCCTGTGTGCAGAACATGCCAATCTACTCCACTGTTAATGGAACAAACTCACATAAGGCAAACAGTCAACATCTGGTACACACTGGCTTTAATATGCCAGCTATGAAAAGTCATGGCACAGGCCACCAGCACAGAGATACCACATCTAGTGTCAGCTCTCTGCATCCCAGAACATCTGCAGGCAGTTTTGTCAGAGGTGTCCAGAGTGATTCCAGCAGTTTATTAGTGCAAGATCCCAGTAACTCGCAGTACATATATGAGCCTACAAATCCAGTGGAGTTGACTGCTTACGCAAACAGTGGTAGACAGCCATTGTGGCATCAACATGTGACTAACACCCCCATTTCTGGACCCCCAGCCCTTATCAGGAGCAACTTTCATGACTTTGTCAGTCAAAGCCTTCCTCAACCTTCAAGTCATCAGCCCACCTCATTTTATCAATCATCCTCAATGCCTGGTTCTAAACATTCTAATTACAAACATTCCAGGGGTAAATATGTATCATCTAACGAGGATAATTACTTGATAACACAAGCAGTTTCGAGAAATGTCGCCACCATTCTAGCACAAAGCAACCATAAAGAGAAATATCCTCATGAGAAAGTTATACATGAGCAGCACAACACCACTAGGCAGCACCATGTTGATCAAGGCTCAAAGACATCCCAGCACAGGAATAAAAGCACCCTAGATCCTCTCATCAATCAGCTTGTGGCCAACTCCACCTCTGTGAAAGTGCACCAGAAGCCCCACCCTAGCCAGGCAGCTCTGACCAATGCTGATCTAGAGAGAGAGAACCTGCTCAGACATTTTTATGCTGCCCAGCTTGGGAAACAAAAGTTAAGGGCAGAGCACTCCGTAGAGAAAGAGTTGAAGTACCCAAGTTGGGTCAGAGTTCCAGAAACAGTGGAAAGTAAACAGCAGCCTAAAACAAATAGCTCTGTGGCTGACCCCAGCAACACTGTTGGCCAGAGGAGCCCCGGCTCACAGAACATTACTGTCACTGACCCCAGCATCACAGCTGTCCAGAAAACATCTAGCTCGCACCTCCCTGTGACTGACCCAAGCGGCACAGTTTTACAGAAGAACTCACACAGCTCGCCTGCTGTGAAAACAAGCTGTTCTAGAGGCTGGCAAAAATCATCAGAACAACTGGCTAGACTTCTACTCACACCAAACAATACCAGACCAGCAGATAGTAGAGCTGAAGGAATAGAACAAGTGCCTACACAAGACAGCCACACTGAAGTCAGCCAGCAGGGTCTTGTGTCTGGGCACAGTGTCAGGGACAGAAGAGGAAGTTCCTCCAACACTATTGAAGAAAATACGGAACCAATCAGGGAACCTTTGGATCTGTCAAATTCACACAGTAAAAGCACCCACAATCACACAAATGAAACCAGAGGGCTAACTTCCAGTTCCCCATTGGCAGCAGGACTATCGAAAGATGGTCAACAATCTTCAAACACACCTTCAACTATTGAACGCCACCAACACCACCACAAACCCCTCCGGTCGCTCCAGTTTCCTGTCCCCCCACAGCGCAGAAAGTCAGTGAATTCAGAGCCTGCAACACCCAAGTCAGCTGAGTTGGAAGTTTCCATGGCTGACCCAGCTTTCAACAAATCCCCTGCACAAAGTTTAGCTCACAGCAACCCCCAGGCAGAGAGGTCTTCCATTGACAGTGCAAGCACACAGAGATTTTACAACTATTCAACCCAGATCCATAGCACAGAGCACGTGACTCCATTCTCATCTAGCATCAGCCCTGTAACCACATCATCAATGTTAGGGAGCACACTTTATACAGAAACAAGAAACACAGGTGTAAAGACAGCATCTCAGGTGAACAACACCCCATCCCCCTATTTAGTTTCACCTGTTTCGTCAGCCCATACCACCCTGCCTCACCCCACCAGAGCTTCATCGGCCGGCACATGTTCTGAAGCCCTAAGACCTGTGAGGACAAGTTCCTTCTTGTCCAACGGGGCGTTGTCACCTAGAAGGATGACCTCTGTTGAACCAATAGATCTAACGCCTCCTCCAAGAGCCGCTGGCCTGCCGGTCAAAGACTTTTTCACCAGCCCGGCCAAAGAAAACACGTATTCCTCGCTGTTGATGGCGCAGATAGCTTCCAAAAGCAAGAGACCAAGGGAGGATAACACTGTCACTGATGAGCTGTTTGGCTTTATCAGACAAAGGAATGAATTAGACATGGTGTTTCAGATCACCAACAACCTGCAGAGAAATGCAGTCATAGACCTAACTGATGCGGACGATGTGGTGAGTGTCAGTTCCATGGACAGTTACGATGAGGACAGAAGGAACAAGCTGCCGGACCTGACCCTGCGGGACAAGACACCCACACTGGAGACTGAACGCTGCAGCAACCTACTCAGCGGGTACAGTGACATCAGCAATGATAACCCTGAGGACTTTGAAAATTTCCGCCATGAAACTGCCAGCGCTGGGTATGCCATGTACCCACCAGGCGGCGAGTACATCTACCCTGAAGAAATTCCTGCGGTCCAGATGTATAGTCAAGAAAACCCTGCTCTCCTGTCTTGTTCAACCATGCTTAACAGCCAGGCGCCAGAACACAGTCTGGGGAACCTTCGTGTCGATAAGGCCAGAAAAGAGAACCTGGCAGAGAAGTTAAAAGCTGCTGTTTCGTTTCGTCGCTCACGCTCAGAGGATGCTGAAGCTGTTCCACCAGAAGCAGACGGGGGTGTCCCTCATCACAGCTCTGAGGCTGGCCATCAGGAACTATTAGGGGAGAGACCTGAACAAAGTGTGCAGCAGGCTGCTGCAACCCTCTTGATGCTGTCCTCCAACCCACTGTACACCAACTTCATGATAAGCCCTGAAGCTTCTGAAGCATATCAAGAAAAAGTCTACCAGGTTCACCCAACATTGGAGAAAGGGAAAGCTGACGAAAGTGAATCAGTCGACTTGCCTCACAAAACAGGGACCAGAACTGGAAGAAGGGTTGGCAGACCTCCTAAAGATCAGCCTAGGCTAGAAAGTGAAGACAGCTCTAGGGTAGCGCAAGCTTCTCAAATTGGGCATTATTCAGCAGAGCCATCAGCTAATGTTTCTTATCAGACATCACATTCCACTAGGGAGGCACCCCCACGGAGCAATGTAGGTATGAATAAGTTTTATAGACAAGGTGATTTCCCTTATAGGAACACCATGGCGGAACATTACCAAGCTGGAACCTCTGTGGAGACTGATAGCATGTACCACAATTTGAACTCTAATGCAAACCATTATGTGCCACCTGGGTGGAATCAGAGGAGTGGCAACATGCCTGCGCCACCTGAACCAGGTGTGAGCAACACTGCACACATGCAGGGCACCAACCCTGTTTATCTACCCAGTTATACAGCTACACACATGACTCCAAGCCATGCAGGTTTAGTTGATGGAGGGCACCCAAGTAACAGCACCTTCTCCCAGCCGGAGCTCACCCCTGATTCCACTACTAAAGTTAAGAAGAGGAGGACAGCAAAGTCAAGGAAAAATGTGCTGCTGGATGAAACTAACGAGCCCCAGATGGTTTCTAGTAGCCAAACAGTTACCATGAAAAAGACAAGGGTACCCAGAAGGAAACAGAAAGTTCCAGAAAATCCGCCAGATTCTGGCCCAGCTGATAACCAGTTGAACGGCGACACCTTGACCAACTCTAGCATGAATGGGAGAGTTGCAGGTGAGCTGGTCAGTGGAGCCTCTGAGGAGACTTCAGCCTCTCCTGTAAGCAGAGGACGTAAGAGAAAGACCAACTTGACAGTAAATGCTGAAGAGTTCCAGGCCAACCAAGTCACGGATGATACCAAACACAGGCTCCAGAAGCGGGTCACCAAAAAAATCCTGCCCAAGCAGGCCCCTGACCTCAGTGGGAGGCAACCTGTGCTGGGCCCACCACACCTCAACAGGTCCAACAGCATTATTGAGATAACGCATGAAGTGGAGTCACTTTCTTCCCAACCTGTCATCACAACAGCTCACAAAGAAAATGGTTTAGTTGTTATCTCTTTACAGACTGCTGAAGACGATGCTCCTGATCTGACTCTGGATAACTCTGCTGAACCTGTCAACAGCTTATCCCCCCTTAACTTGAATAATTATCACCAGCCTTCATCCAATGCTGGGGACAGCATACTGGACCTCAGCAAAGCTACACCCAACCATAAATCTCACTATGAAGAACAAAGCCTCTGGGCCTCCAAAATAAACAATCTTTTGAAGTCACCTGACCTAGGGAAAATTAACACACAAAAACAAAAGGAGACTAAAAATACACCAGAGCAAAGACATGCAATCTTGAAGGGAGAAAGAACAGGTTCAGTTGAAAGCAGTCCTCTTGAAGTGTCAGTTAACTATTCTGTAGATAATCAAAGCAAGACCTACCCAGGTAGAAAAAGGAGGGGTAGGAAGAAGAAAGAGCTCACTAACCAGCCATCGCAAGTTAGGGACAATGAAGATAAGGAGAAGGAAGTGATTGCCTGGCTAGCTATGAAAGGGGATAAGTAGGGTTGTTGTGTGAGGAGCAAGAAAATTCTAGAAACCTTAGTTGTGTGATATTAAAAACTATATCCCACTTCATATCTAAGTTTATTTCCATAGTGTCAATTCTGTTGCTAAGCCAAGAAAATGATCGTCCAACTTCATGGAAAGGTTCATTTTATCATGGTGGTTTTATGGTGTATTGGACTTTTTAATCATTTTATTTTAAAAAGCAGCTATTTATATTACCATTAATCACAGGGCATTATTAAAGCTGTACATAGTGTAAATATTTTGGTCTATGCAAGAATTCACTAGTTCATGTAAGCCTTCTTTGTGTAAAAAAAAAAACAATTTCAATTTCGTGTGAAAATAAGATGTGTATGACTTTACCTAATGAATGGAAGATAAGCCTATCAGTTTGGTCAGTTTATTGAATACAATAATGTATCAACAGTTTAACATTTTATATTTGATTTATAACATTGCAAGTTAATGCTGCTAATTTTGTTTATAATTTTCTGATCATCTTTATAAAGTATACACTTGGATACATGTTTAAATATTTTTTTAAAAATATAGCAGCTGATCTGTCATGTTCAATGTGTTTTATAAAATATGTATACATTTCGTCTATGTTATAGCTTAAAGATGGAGATTAGCCTATCTTTTATCACATTCCTAAGCCATGGGAAGTTTACATCATTTGTACTTTGAAACAATGATTTCCAAAAGTTAATTCCACTATTGCTAACGATAGAAGTGTTGTATGTGCCAATTTAAGCAGTCTTGTTTGTTGTGAGAAACAATAATTGCTGATTTGTTTGATGACTGCTGTTCCTACCCCCATGACTTTCTTCATACAAGCCTTCCTAGTTTTTATTTATTTTCAGGCATACCAGCTGAACCATTGGATTTTTATACCTGCTTATTATAATTTATAAATAAAATATTGCTAGAGTTTACTAGCAAAATAGTTTCTCATTTCTAACATTTAATTGTGAGCATAATTCTGTCATTTCCATCTGCTTTATTAATCTGTTATATGTTGTTTTATTAACAAATTAAATGGGCATTGTATGTGTTTTAAATCTGACATTTATTAAATGTCACCTTTTTTATTAATAAATATTTTTGTACAAATACATAGGCATTACTTTTTTTGTTAATAGTAAGCCTAAACACTAAAATGTGTCAATACTCTCATCATAGCTGTCTCATATCAAGTATTAACATTAGAAAAATAAGTTGTCATTAAAATCTTTATAGATTTAAGTCTAAAAACTGAGTAGATGATTCTTTTACAGTGACAAGAAAAAAAACTGATAAAGAAAGTTTATTTAGTTGTTTTCATTCTTTGTTTGATTTTTTTTTTTCATTTACTTGCTTTAATTCCTCTAGGACTTAACTCTTTAAGCTTTTGTTTGAAGTGTATGGTTCCCAACATTGTTTTTTTTCTTAATATACTTTAAAACATTTAAACAAGGATATTCCAGGGGTATATCAGGAAATAAATTCAGGGTTCTAGTGAGTTGTTACTTTTTTTTCTCAATCTTAACATAAACAGGCATATTGCCTAATGGAATAGAAAAAAAAAACTTGAGATTAGTTGAATTTTAAAATCTAAAACAAATCACTTTGTTTTTATAGATCATTCAACTGCATTGGTCTTCTCTGAAGATTGTATGCACTCCGCTAGCTTAAAGCTCCAATGGAAAATACTAAAAATGACTGTTACACACTCTGGTAAAATGAGTTATTTCTCCCTAAAATTGACAGATTACCAAATCTTTGTCAAGTTGTTTTAGCCATTGCAACAGCGTATTCATAAACTTCCCCATGAAAGGGTTATACTGCTTTAATCTTTTTATACTTACTCAGGCTATTGATTTCTTTATTCAAAGTTGATTTGCCTTAATAAACCTTTGTAAAATACTTCTAAGGTATTGTTTTCCTACAGAATTGCCTAACAGGTCATTTTGTATATTTTTAATTCAATTAAACATCTTTAGACAAATCACATATAGTTTTTTGAATTGCTTGAAGCAACAGATAGAACACAGTATGTTTGACTCTGTATAGGAATAAAATAATCTTACCTTCCACATCAGCTCAGCTAAGGATAGTTCTAATATGGGACTTTAAAATGCCATAGAAAAAAAAAATTGATGCGTAAAGTCAAATTAAGGCCTACTGAGAGGAGTGGGGCGGCAGGGGAAATTACATCGTATTAAGTTGTTTAGTAAAACAAAAATTACACAAGGATTTGATCCAGTGAGGGTAATAATAATAGTAAGCCTTCCTCCCACACACCGCAAATAACACGTGATGATTGAAGATGTACCGTTTAATAAAGAATCAAATGCGGTTTTTTTTTCAGCCATCTCGAGGGGGGGGGGGGGGGGCACAAAACAGACATTGACGACTTTGCTTCCCTTTCGCAGTGTAAAACGAAAAAAAAAAACCCTGATTTAACGCTATTTTCGAATTAGGGGAGATAAATCGTATTTAACAATAAAGAATTAGCTAACCACCGGATAGCTTCCCCTTGCCATAAACTAAAGCAGTTTTTGGAATCTGAGTTTCAAAATAGCTATGCCTAAATGTTTAATTTTATTATGACCCAGCTGCCCTTTCTATCTGTTTGTAAATGTGTTGTCTTAATTGGTTAGTTATTGGGGAGGACTCATCTTTATTTTAACTGGAACAATAATACAGGGAGGAGGGTTTTTTTAATGAGTATGTCATCACTCAGATCAAATAAATCGCGGGGGTTAGGATCGTGTAATCTAATTGTTTCTTGACTTTTTTCTTTTATTCTAGCAGAAAAAAAAATGCAAGTGATAAATAACTTGTATTATCACCATTGTGTCTTCACAAGAGCCGGGGAAAGTTTACACGTGATTTTGTAGGCAGAGACGAAATATGACTAGGAATAAAAAAAAATGTTGATATAGCCAATCTAGGTTATTAAGATTATCTGCTAAGTAATAATAAAATAAAATGCATGTTTAAAGTTATGTTAAATTATGTCCAAGCTGTTTGGTATTTATTTGTATGGATGACAAGCTGTTATTTTTAAAAATCAAAATAAACTGTAAAATAAAAGTCTCTAAATGTATAGTGTCTTTTGTTTGATTTGAGTAATTTGATTTTTTTTTTTCAAATTATAAATTAACGGCTAATAGTTAATCGCTTATAGTAAGCTTAATTTCCTGTTCGAAACAACATGTACAATATGGATTCGCATGTAGATCTATATATTGAACTTGAAAGGCGTCAGCTTCCTAACTACATCGTTTGCCATGCGAAGTTGAGCAATTCTAGTTTCGCACCTGCAAAACTAAGATGGAGATGGAAAATTCAAGAAATAGCTGCATGTTTCTGACTGGTGTCTAAAAGGTAACTGATTTTCAGGAAATATTTATTATTATGTTTTTGTGTGAAAATCATATTTTAATGGTTTTGTTCTTTATATGGACTGTCGCACTGTTCATTTTCGGCACCAGTAAAATATCTGGATTATTATACATTGGCCTATATTTTGAATTTGAAAGGAATCAAATTTTATTTTTCCTATAATTATTATATTATAATTAACTTCATTAAGGGGTCATCCATAAATGACGTCACGCTTTTTTGACGATTTTTACCCCCCCCCCCCTCCCGTCCGTCACACGTCGTCACAAAAAGCCAGACCCCCCCCCCCCCTAAAATGACGTCACACCTCAACCTACAACCCCCCTCAAAATTGCAGTTGATTTTTTTTTAAACATCGATTTTTTTCCAAAATCTTGTCTAAACTATTACATTTTATTAAAACAGTTATCTAAAACGCGAAATAACGTCTAAAATTCGTTTTCTAACATTGCTTTTTTATAATGCAAAAATGTGACGTCGACATCTGAACCCCCCCCCCCCTCCAACTCATCACACATCGTCACAAAATTACGGACCCCACCCCTCCCCCCTACGAGTGTGACGTCATTTATGGATGACCCCTAAGAAGGGTTCAGACAATTCGATAATGAATCTGGTGGGGTTCTGTACCTCCAATGGAAGGTCTACCTGGCAGGTCACAGAGTGATAGAGATTTGATAGCTGATAGATCTATCCTAGCACTAGCACACATAGACCAGACACAATAAAATACTTAAATTAAAATGTTAAATAAGATCTAGATCTAGATGTCTAAATGATTTGATAGTAGGAAAACATTTGTTTTTAAATATTAAAAATATAGCCTACAGTAGACTACTAACTACAGTATGGCCTAAAGAATTAAATATACTAACTAAAGGGAAATAACTTCAAAATAATTATCGCGAGCGCAATCTACTGAATCTAGCTAGATCTAGATCTAAATCTCTAGATCTAGATCAACATTACTAAATCTAAATTCAAGATCTATTATTATATTATAGATAGCTGAATAATAAACCGAAATCAACGGCTAAATATATTAATCCAGGCCAGAAATTAACTTAAACAGCAGTGTTTGCGAGCAGGATTTGCTACAGCCATCCGTAAGTTAGAGTGGTTTCCCTTGAATCTCTAACTATAATTTTATCCAAAACAAAAACTTAAGATGTCTGCTAAAGTAAATGAGCTTGGTTGCATCTGATGAAAACATCACTAGTCTAGTCTTTATTTTTTTACTGTAAAGTTTTAATACAATTGTTTAAAAACAGGTAGATCTAGATCTAATCTACAAGCTAGATTTCTACATTCATTAGGGCCTAATTTAAAAATTTTGTAACTTTCAAAACATAAATCCTCCTAAAAATGTGAAATAATATTATAAATTATAATAAATATAATTAGAATTAGATCTGAGTTTCATCTAGATCTAGTATTAATTACAGAAATTTAATGAGTCATACCTTTTTTCACATTTAAGGCAATTTAAGCCCACTTAGTAACTTACTTAATTAAATTTACTAGATCTAATACTAATAACTAATAGATCTAGTACAGAGGCGTAGTGAGGGGGGTGGGGTGGGGACATATGTCTCTGGGCGCCGACCTTAGGGGGTGCCAAAATACGTTGGAAAAATAAATTGAAAGTTTGAAGGGGTGCAAATAAAAAATTTGAAGGGGGGTGAGTGCAAATCAAAAGTTTGTCCCCGGGCGCTGGGAAGGGTCGCTAAGCCTCTGATCTAGTAGTATACCAGTCTCTGTCGATTTTACGTACCTAAAACTAAAATGAAAGATTACCCAATTATTATTATATATTACAATTAATCGTTATCGTAATTTATTTATTTTAGAGTTAGAGACTAGCTAGTAGATAGAGTTGAGACTTTGTTTAAACTTTAAGTCTTAAGTACACTAAAATAAATAATAATAGAATAGCAAATAACAGCAACATGTCATAGAGTATTTTAAGACATGACCTTGTATTCTAAAACTGAGTTTTTTAAATGTAAACTAAACCTACGGCACTTAGTACTTTTAGGATATTTCTTGTCTTAGTTTTTGGCACTGATTTCTTCACAATATCTCTCAGAAACTACAGGTCATGCTGTATTATATATATAGTATATAGTATATAGCCTTAAGTGTACGTTAATCATCCTTCAATTTCATTTATATGATTATACTAATTATAGTATAGTGAGGTAGAACACCCCTCCACAACCACCCAGGTATTAGGAGCATCATGGGGCATTCTCGGGAGCCACCGGTTACATTACCGCAGGGGCACAGGGTTCAACCCCTGGATTGATTTAGTCATCGAATGTAGTGGCCCACGGTGCCATAATTGTAGGACGCTTGTTAAAACACAGGGGAGTCATGGGTGCACCCTGGGCCTGCAAGTGTTCTTGGTGCAGTTCGACGGTAATTTATTTTTTTCCCCACAGTAAGAGCAACCATTCCAAGAGTATTCTCATAACTTCCCTAAGTTTCATGGCAATTGGAGGAAAGCTGTAATAAAGGCAAACAGACACACCCACAGACAGACATGCTTTGATTTTTATATATACAGACTTGCTCACAAGAAAGGCTGATGCAACATATTAAGAAGATCTCATCAAAGAATTACCAATATTGTATTTTTAGATGTGAAACCCCATCATCTAAAACTGAGTTATTTAAATGTAAATAGCAGGGGCTGTACTTCTTGGATCATTATCATAACTGTAGAGGGATGGGATGACCCTAATTTCAGTATATTTTTAGTACATTATATATATATATTATATAGATATAGATATATAGTCATCGGTTGAGAGGATTACGCCTTGGTGTATCACACCAGGTGTCATGAGACACTGCTGGGCCTTGTAACTACTTAGCTACTAGATTCTAGATCTATACCCTCCCTTATATAATATAGTCTAGCTAGTTTTAAGTTTGGTACTAAAATTTAGATCTAGATTCTAGAACAGCTAGCTTTCTAACTAATACAATGTTTAACTACAAAAAGATTTTGTGTCATAATTTTCAGGTACCCTACACACAAGGCTCAAAAATTCTCTTCCTATCAATTTTCAATTTTGTTAAAAACATGCCAAGAATAACACGGTCTTCCAAGAATTTTGAGCAGTTAATTCCAATTGATAAAACTGTATGCCCTGTTCAGGCTTCTAATTTTAGTTCTGTGAAATGTTCAAAAAGAAAGCCATCTCTTTCAAAAAGTAAAGCCATAGCTTGTGATCATTCGCTGACCCATGTAGAAAACACAGACAAGTTTGCACATTGCAGTACCTCTTCCTTATCACCGGGGAATGAAACTATTCAACTTGATAATACAGCAGGAACTTGCAACTCGAATATAAATACTGATAGATCTAATAATGTTACACAACTTGAAATTAAACGACGAAAATTAATAAACCATATAAAAATAGAACCAGAATTATTAAACGTCAGTGAAAGTTCTTCCAAACTTAAGCAGAGCACTGGAGTTATAACTAATAATAAAGACATTTCATATTGTGATGTTAAACTGGAAAGAAATATTCTTGAAGGCAGTGAACAAAAATATGAGCTGGAAATTGAAAAAAAGGAAATTCTTGACTCAAGCCTGGAGGGAAAGACTTGGCAGCCATCATTATGGCAAAAACAGTATTCAAATATAGTTGAGATGAGGAAGCTAAGAGATGCCCCTGTTGATGTCATGGGTTGTGATGTTATCAGTGATAAAAATGCTGACCCGAAGGTGGGTTGTCATCACATATTTATGATATTAACGTAAATGATGTCATACTACTATGGTGCAGGGGTCTCCAAACTTTTCCGTCCGAGGGCCGCATTAACTAATAAAATTCAGTTTGGGGGCCAGTTTCTTCCACGCATGTCTTTGATTTTTCTGGGCAAAGCTCCTCAGCCATCACCAACAAACGTTTTTTCCGTGGACAAAAAGATCTCCGTGGGCCGGATGAGAGGACCTTGCGGGCCGCATATGGCCTGCGGGCCGTAGTTTGGAGACCCCTGCTATAGTGAATAGAGGATGGGCAGGAGTTGGACTTAGCAATGAAGTTTAATTAGGAGGAGAGGGAGAGAGTTCAGAAAGTGTGACATCACACTTTTTTATTTTGACATGCAATTTTTAATACTGAATTTAAAAATAAAAAATTCCACATATTTTAGAGATATTTAAGTAAATTAAAGTACTCAATATACTTGATCTTGCCACAGCTCGGTTAATGTGACAGAGGGGCATCCTGTTTCTGGAAAGAAAAATTGAATTGGAAGAAGACTGAAGTGTGACATAATTTAGGGGTGGGTCTCACTTTTTGTGACAATGTGTGATGATGGGCAGGAAGGTAAAAATCATCCAAAAAAGCATGACATCATTTACTTAAAAAGTTTAAGTAACCTATTGTCTGTATTGACTAACTTGAACATGAATCTGAACTGATATGTATGCTAACATTTTTTAGCTATTCAGTTAATGTAAAAGTATTCTAAATAAATAGTTTATGAATTTACATTGCCATTTTTATAAATATACTAGATCTATATATAGATTTTATGGCGTTGGGGCAGAATACATTTATAAGAGTTGTATAAATCTTTTGGTGATTACATGCATATCAATCTAATTAGCAACCTGTACATTGAGGTACATTTTATGTTAAATATGTCTTTAAAATTAACTATATCCAGACTTATCGCTATCAAGTACTGCTGTCTCTAATGTTATCAAGCCAAACCAAAGACCAGGTTACATCAGCAGCAATGAGTCGCCTCAGAGAACATGGCTGTAACCTGAATAATATCTTGAGTACATCAGATGAGTTACTTGGAAAACTAATATACCCTGTTGGTTTTTGGAAGGTAAAACATGTTTATTTTACTATAAGCAAATACGCCTACAAAATAATATAATGTTTTGGAACCAAACCAATAATTTTTAATGGGTTTTTTTTTTCAAAAATATGTTGAACAAAAACACATTCATTAGGTCTAAAGTTATTTATATTTATATATAGCTGTTAAGATTATTTAGCAAATTATATACTCATACAAAAACTTTGATAGTTAAAAACGAAAATGTGTAACTCGTGGTATAATTTTTGTGTCTTTTTTTGACTAAGCTAGCAGTCAGGATGCTTCATTTTGTTTTATAGAAAAAAGTCAATTATATTAAACAAACTTCAGAAATACTTGCTTCTAAGTATGGAGGTGACATACCCGATACAGTCAAGGACCTATGTAGCTTACCTGGAGTTGGGCCAAAGGTAGTGACTTAATTGTTATATTTACTTAATTTAAGCACACACGAATTGTTATGAAGGTTTTTGGTGGATTTATTCGTCAACTTTTAAAAAATATTACTCCTATCGAAAACTTACTTCATTTTGTTTTTAAATTGAAGGCAACTGCCCATCTAATTAACCGGATGCATTTTTTCTTCTTAGATGGCACACCTTGTCATGAAAACAGGCTGGAACACAGTAACTGGAATAGGTGTCGACACACATGTTCACCGTATTTCTAACAGGCTAGAATGGGTAAAAAAGCCAACTAAGGATCCTGAGGACACAAGGAAAGCACTAGAAGACTGGCTTCCAAAGTAATATATTTGTTTCTTTTTTTCTACAGTATCAAAATGCATTAGCCTATACCAGAAACTAAAAACAATGGCTTGCTTTTCCACAAGGGGGTTGCCCATAGATGATATTATTTAAGTAAATCCTTTACTTTAGAGATAGCAATATGCTAATAGGGCTGGTGAGTAGGTCACCAACCAGTTCTACGGCTAAATAAAACCTACATGAGCCATAGAACTGGTTGGTGACCTACTTAATAGCCCTATTGGAGCAAGGTGTTAATACATTCTACAGCCTATGACAATTGGGATAAACCTCTTCTAAAATTGTGTCACGTTTATGGAAAATCCCTCAGTCTGTAAGCAATAAAAATGCTAGTTTGGCTGTATTTTATAGGTTTTCACATTTTTCATATTTTGCCACATGTAGGCTTAGTTGTTCCTACTGAAATAGTAGTTCAAGTAATATTAAGTATTAAAAGTAGTTAATTGACTGACAACATAAATAAAAACTAATTTTAAGCCTTTACTTTAAAAATGTTACAAAAAATATTTTTTGTTTCTTTTCTGTACTAGAATCTATTATTTATTCTTTGTTTCTATAGGGACTATTGGGTGGAGATAAATCATCTGTTAGTTGGTTTTGGACAACAAGTGTGTCTTCCTGTCAAGCCAAAGTGTAGCAGTTGCTTGAATAGACTGATCTGCCCTGTTGGTAAAACATCTGTCAAGTTGAACAGAGAAACAGATTTTTAAATCAGATTGTTATATAAAGTGTTCAAATCAAATTCTATTAAAAACCAGTCCATGCAATTATACTTTTACTTTCTTATTTAATTATCATATTTTGGTGAATTAAGAATCCCAGTTAATTACAGAATCTTGCAAACCATCAAAGTAGTCTGGCCCATACATTATGATTGAAGAATCTTCCACCTCTAAGTTACATAGGCTTACATAAGCTAAGAAAGTATGTTGTACTTATTGCTCTCTCCCTTTTTCATCACATATGATGCTCAGTTCAGAAAGAAAAGTAAAGTTCCCTTTGAAACCTGATGGTCTATGCCACAAGTGAAGTAGAGTTCAACTGTTTCTGTGAAGAAGAAATAGTGTGGTCAGCACTGTGCCTAGCCGCCTTTACTTTCCCTAATATGAGCTGGGTGGACCCAGAGTTTCTTCCAGGCATCTCTTCGGAGGGGCTGTGCCCCCTCGAAACATTTTTACCGCCTCCGAACGAAATGAAATTTATATAATTTATATAAAAAAAATATACTTTTAACAGTGTCCGCCCCCCCCCCCCCCCCCGAAAATTTCAAGTGCCCCCCCCCCGGAGAAAAAAGTCTGGAAGAAACATTGGGTGGACCCAGAAACATTCTACTGACTTAAACCTGGATTTAAACTCAAGACTTTTGGGTTAGCAGTTTAGTGCTTTACCGCTAGTCCGCTCCGTCCCTTGATACTCAGCTGTATGAATTTAGCAAATATATAAACACGTTTAAAATGCATCACAAAAATACAGTAAGTTTAGATTTAGAACATTTGTAATGGATGCAGTGGCGTCGCTAGGTCGGGTGTCACCCGGTGCGGCACTTCATGGTGTCAGCCCCCCCCCCTCCCCCCCCTACACACACCAAAAAAAAAGTGCGAGTGTGTATGTAGAGTCGAGGTGGTCGATGTGTACTTATAAGACTTTTAAACTCTACTTATTCATGAACTGAACTGGCAAAAAGCATTTTTCTTCTATATATTTTGCAATTTTTGGTCTTGGTGTCACCCCCCTAAATGGTGTCACCCGGTGCGGACCGCACCCCCCGCCTCGCGACGGCTCTGAATGGATATTTTTACCATGTAGAATTTTTAAAAATATAAGATAGACCTTCAATGATAAAAAAAAATAACAAATTATTTCAAAATATGGTCAAGTCGGTAAAAGCTCATGGTTGTTTAACTCTAAAAAGTCTCGAGTTCAAACCTTTTGGAAGATAAGGCTCGATCCCTTCCAACACTAAAAATTAAGAACGAAGAAGAAACAATTTTAATTAGTTTTAAAATTCAGTCTTTTGATTCATGCATCGCTTGGAAGCTGCCTACAGATCCCGGATGTAGGCTTAAATAGGCTACATCTAAGGCTGGTACTGTCATTAGGAGGTCCATAAATTCTGATCACAGTGCCAAACATAGTAAAAAAATCTCTTGCAATGGTACGTGGATTTTAACTTAGGGGGTCGTCCATAAATGACGTCACACTCGTAGGGGGAGGGGGGGGGGTCCGTAATTTTGTGACGGTGTGTGATGAAAGGGGGGGGGGGTCAGATGTTGCGACGTCACACTTTTGCATTATAAAAAAGCAATGTTAGAAAACGAATTTTAGACGTTATTTTGTGTTTTAGAAAACTGTTTTAATAAATTGTAATAACAATTGATTAAAATACTCTATTTTGACAGAGTTCAGACAAGATTTTGGAAAAATATAGCTGTTTAAAAAAAATTCAACTGAAATTTTGAGGAGGGGGGGGGGAGGTAAAAATCGTCAAAAAAGCGTGACGTCATTTATGGATGACCCCTTACTTCGAATTGATTTAGACAAAATAGATTTTCGTCCATTTTTTCATCAAAACAACAACAAAAAATCGCCTCAATTTGTTTAGTTTATTATTTGTCGACGAGGCAGGGAATGGCATTTGGAACGATGAACACCGCTCGGAAGAAACGAAGACCCGAGCGAGAGAAAGTTGAATTAAATGAAATGTTTAAGCTCTCCTTTGAGACGGTATAAAATATGTTGCCGCCAATTGCTCATTTGATAGGCATAATTCGTTTGAATGTTTTAAGCCCTCTTCTAGATTGGTAAGTCCACGACATCGGGCGTGAATAATGAAAGTTAGTGGAAATCCTCAGATATATTTACCATTTCAGCTTTTCAATTGAAGATTGCAAGCAATGCAGTGGCGTGGCGAGGTCGAGTGTCACCCGGTGCGGCACTTAATGGTGTCACCCACAGAGGCGTAGCGACCCTTCCTGGGGACAAACTTTCAATTTTCTCGATTTGTACCCCCTTCAAACTTTCGATTTGCACCCCCCCCCCCTCTCTATATATTTTGCTATTTTTTGCCTTGGTGTCACCCCTAAATCGTGTCACCCGGTCCGCACCCCCTCGCTACGCCTCTGAAGCAATGCGCACCCGGTCTACAAGCGCAACAGATGACAGGTAGATTTCAGTAGCGGTGACGTAAGAGAATATATGCTACATAGCTAAGAAGTAAAGAACCCTATATTCAGTAAAAAGCGCGGATCTTTTCCATATAAGCCCCGCCACTAATGCCAAAAGTTAAGTTTAAGTTAAGTTCCTTTTCAAACCTGACGGTCTATAGGGCAAGTGAAGTAGAGTTCACTTGTTTCTGTGACCTCGGCATATGAAGAGATAGTGTGGTCAGCACTGTGCCCAGCCGCCTTTACTTTCCCTAACGTGAGTTTGGTACCCATGAGAGTTGGGTGGACTCAGGGACGGTCTACTGACTTGAACCAAAATGCCATATAAGCCCCGCCACTAATGTCAAAAGTACACGGGTGAAAAGTAAAGCCCAGCCACTTTTTGCTATCTCCAAGTTAATGCACACGCGCAACCTTGACCTATTTCTGATGTTTAGACATTTGAATATTAGAATGCACGCCATTATACTCCTTATCTGCCTTTAGCCAGAGTTTCTCCCAGGCCGAAGAAAGTCTACCGCCCCTCCCCCGAACGAAATGGAATTTATATAGAAAATATATTCTTTTAACAGTTTCCGCCCCCCCCCCCCCGAAAATTTCAAGTGCACATCTATCTATATATATAATTCTCTTCTGGGAGATGCTAAAAAACAAGCTGTAAGCGCGCTCCCTACCACCCCACCCCTACATGGTCTGGTGAGCTGTGGTTCACGTTAAATGTTTACATTCGTAGAGCCGGGTTTAGTGACGGCTATTAGGTACAGATATTTAGTTTGAAACGATTTTAAACTTAGGGGGGGGGGGTAACTAAGAGGAGGTTACTTTCACGGGGGGGGGGGGGGGGTGTAGGGTAGGGGTTGGGGGAAAGGAGGGTGGGGGTAGGGGTTGGGGGAAAGGAGGGTGGGGGTAGGGGTTGGGGGAAAGGAGGGTGGGGGTAGTATCGTTCTTAACGACTACTGATAGTGTTTTAAAGCAAATATTTTCAGTGGCAGCATTGGTACTGTCGAATTCACAAATTATGAATTACGAAAAAATTTTACCGCCCCCCCCCCCCGAACGAAATGAAATTTATATAATTTATATAGAAAATATATACTTTTAACAGTGTCCGCCCCCCCCCCCCCCCCCGAAGAAAGTTTACCGCCCCCCCCCCCCCCGAAAATTTCAAGTGCCCCCCCCCCCCCGGAGAAAAAAGTCTGGAAGAAACACTGCATATATTAGTACTTCAATGTCAAGCAAAGATGAATGAATCAATTTTTTTTCATTACATTTGGAAAACTTTAATTTTAAAACAGGCCTAGATCTAAAGGTTGACAGACTTTGGGAGCTATTTATTTAACAATACAGACCACGGCATCACTTGCGCAGTTTCTTCCAGGCTTATACTTACCGCCCCCCCCCCCCGGATCGAAATGGAATTTATATAGAAAATATATACTTTTACCAGTGTCCACCCACCGGAAAATTTAGTTCGCCCCCCCCCCCCCTCCCCCGAGAAAAAAGTCTGAGAGGAACGCTGCACTCGCTGTACTGAGTTACGTCACAAGTACTTCAGCTAAGTTGTTTGTTGAACAATATTTTCTTTTTCATATTTTTCATTCAGATTCACTTAAACATTCAGCTGTAATTAGACTAGATCTAGATGAATGTAGTGTGTGTGAAAAAAAGTTTTAAAAAAGAAAACGTTTTTAATCGAATAGGCCTAGAATTTGTGTTCTGTGAGTGTAGGCCTGTTTGTCGTGAGCTGAATTGTAAAATTAAAAGTATAAACACGCAATGGTGTATTATTCAATAAGTCTACTTGTCATAATTGGTGTTTTTTTTTCTAAATATATTTTTTCAAGTTTTATTTTAACGAAACCTCGATCCAATAAACCATCACGCGTCTAAGCGTCAGTATAAATAATTGATTTGAATTTCAAAGATGCGAATTTTTAATAATATTTCTTTTCGGTTAGGCCAGAGAATGCTTGCAATCACGTGATCTTTTAGAAACCGGAAGTTAGTCTCTTTGATCGCTCTAACAATCACGTAAGGCCGTTATTGATATTACTTCGAAAATATCCATTGAATCATCAACGTATATTATATTTTTGTATTTTAAAAATTGCATGTTAGAAAGTTTAGTTGTTATGCATTATTTTTCAATGCTTATTTTTTTGTCATGACTGTTATTACATCTTAATCTTTTTACCCAAATATAGTCTAGAATTAGCGATGTTCTAGTTCTATCTGTTGCAATGAAATCACATGTAGCCTATAATTTTAAACATCTACATTTTTTACTTTATGTCGATAAACATTTCCAAATCACTATTTAGATCTAATTCTAGATCTTAAAGTTTATTCTAGAATCTATTCTAAGCCAATCTAATCTAAGGAAATTTCTCATTGTTCAACAAACTATGGACCATGTTTTGGGCAGGTTCTTACTCGGATGATCTGCGGTTTTTGTTAATCTAGATTCTAGAATTAATTCATTTACTTCTCCTAATCTGCAAATACTGATCAGTTCCTCACTAATGAACTATGAATGAAAAGCTGATTGTTAATGAAATTACTGGACCACATTCATTATTTGTCTGATTTGTACTTCTCTTGCCATTAGAGATCTGTTACACCTGTCATGAAGTAAAAAATTAAAAATTCCATAAAATATTTTAACGCTGTTGAGATGCATAATTTTTTCTCATAGGCTAGTTGAAAATAATTTGTTAAAACTACTGAACAGTGATCTCCTACTAACTAGGCGAGGGATTTAAACTGGGTCTTTTGGTTCAAGAAAAGTTTTGTAGCACTAATTAATTTTTACAAGACTTCATAAGAGCAGGTGTTGGAACGTTTTGCTTTCTCTTGTTGCCAATTAGATATGTGAATATATCTAGAATCTAGAGTAAAGTTCCACGCGCGGTTAAAACACCGGTGCGGTCATCGCCTGTTTATCGCTTCGTACAATATTTGTTTTGATGTTTTATACGAAACTACCGATATCTGCTGTAAACCTGTCCATTTCTAAATATATCCAGGTCAAATTCTTTTGTTTTTCTCCTTCTGAAGTTGAGTTTTTAAAGTTTCGAGGTATGACGCCGAAGGCGATTCTAGTTCCCCGTATGAAAAACACTAGGTCCCGGATGAGATGAATAAACCAACCAATCAAAGCTTTTTATAACTAGGTTAACTATAAATAGCTTCTACAATATGTGCGGGACACTGTACACACGATAGATTAGGCTAATAAAGCAACCTGATAGGTGAATGGGGGTGGCCGCAGCTTGGGTGTCGATTTGGGTGGTTTCACCGCGCTGCGTAACCGACTTGAGCTAGACTAGCCTAGTTCTAGATGCTCTACATTTCAAGCTAAGCCTAGAATCTGTATAATTTCTATTTTTTTCTGCTGTTTTAAATTATTTCGATCATCTACTTCTTCTAAATCTAGTTTGTGTCTCTACATACAAGCATATCTAAGCAAATGTTACGTTATGTCTTGTCAGTGGTTGTTACGTCCCTTTGTTATGATTATTATAGTTGCGTCCCTTGAGTCATCACTGGGTCAACTTTTAATGTCGTTAATTAATTTAATTAACATGTTTTTAATTTGGTTTTGAAATCTATTAATTAATAATACAATCAACAACACGTTTAAAAGTGTAAAATATTTATTTTATTTATTAAACTAGGATTAAAACGTATAAAACACGATCGTTACGCAAGCCGGTTCAGATGGCCGCAGGGAAAAAAAAGAGGGGAAAAAATATCGCAAGTAGCACGTCACTAAAACATGAATATCTCAAATTCAGTGCGTAGGAATATAAAATGATTGATACATATTAAGAGTAGAAAGGCAGAGGAATAATATAGTACTTTGGGTTTGTTTCTGTGTTAAACGGTTACAAAATAGCGCCCGATGAAAGTCGGGAGTTCGCTATGTGTGACCGCGCGTGGAACTTTACTCTAGTCTTATTATAATGTTGGGTGGGACTTTAATCAGGTATTGCATGTCATCCTGATATGCAAAGTCATTTGACTCAAGATTTCTGTTTTCTTTTTGGTTTAGCCTTCCATAGCCTTTGTCCATAAAAGCATGAAATACAAGGCAGCAGTTGTTTGGTTTTGGAGTTTTTCTCCTAGATTGTGTTGCTGTCCTCAGCTATTAAATCATCTGCCCAGGGGTTCACACTCAGGACTTTAGCAACCATGAGCTTTTACAAACCTCAGTGATGACTTGTTAGATTTGCGTTCTTTAAATATAATCTAGTTGATTCTTGTATTATCATGGTCCATTCTAGAGCCACCTATGTTTTGTATTTGCCTATTGGCATATCAACTGTTCAGTAATCAGTAAATTCTACTTATCAATTAGAAAAGCTGAAGATTAAAAAAAACTGTCTTCTATGAGAATTTTTACTGACTATTCAGGGGAAAAAATTTTCACCCCAGCGTCTCCATCTGGTTGGCAGAAGTTACGAAACTCAATACTTCTGGTCATGTGCAGTGAACCTAATAGCTGCGTTAGGGTTATGGTTCTGCTGTTTGCTTGTAAATATGAGTGCGCAGTTCCATCAAAAACATCGTTGCGAAGGAAGACCGTAGTTTCTCTCCATTGCGCATGCCTATCTTTTTCCGGCTAGGTTGACCTAATTTTTAACTTGCTTGCTACTACTGTATAATTGAAAAATATTTATATAAAACTCATTTTATTTTTAAACTTATTTAAAGCAATGGCGGACGCAGCAGCAGCACCAGCCGGTGATAGCCCGAGGGGTGGATTCCGTGGTGGCTTTGGAGATAGAGGACGTGGCCGCGGCAGAGGAAGAGGTAGAGGTCGTGGCAGGGGCAGAGGTCGTGGTGCAAAGGAAGGTGACAAGGAATGGGTACCTGTAACTAAGCTTGGACGTCTTGTTAAGGATGGCAAAATTAAATCTTTAGAGGAGATTTACCTGTTCTCATTGCCAATTAAGGTTGGTTTTCATTGTTGTTCCTTTTTTTCCTTTTTGTAATATAATATATAGAGAGACTAGTTGTTGAATTTTAAAACTATTATTTCAGGAGTGTGAGATCATTGACTTCTTCCTGGCTCCTGGAACACTTAAAGATGAGGTTCTTAAAATTATGCCTGTACAGAAACAAACCCGTGCAGGTCAAAGGACCAGGTTTAAGGTAATATTTTATTAAAAGATGGACAACATTTTTAAGTTGTTTTTTTTTTCTTAGTCTTATCTAATGGGTTTCTTTTTTAAATAGGCTTTTGTAGCTGTTGGAGACTACAATGGTCATGTTGGACTAGGTGTTAAATGCTCTAAAGAAGTTGCCACTGCCATCCGTGGAGCCATCATTTTGGCTAAGCTCTCTGTTATTCCTGTTCGAAGAGGATATTGGGGTAACAAGATTGGAAAGCCCCACACCGTTCCATGCAAGGTAAGCATATGGTTTGGAGGTTGTCTTAAACTACATTGCCACAGCTAACCATCTTCACTAATAGAAAGTTTGGGATGATGAAGAAAAAAAATTCAGCCTGCCTTGCTTGGTTTTTTAATAGAAGTTGCAACTTCCATTCTTTTGTTTGACACATCAAGTTTTTACTTCTGGTTTCTCTCCAACACTATTTTTGAAAAAAAATTCAAATGGACTATCACAATCGTGTACATTGATAGAATGAAATAACATTCTGTGCTGATTCAACATAGTAACAAACCTATATTTTATTAGAGAATTTACTTGAGTAGTATTTAAGAGGTAGGTGGTTAAAATTGATTTCAAAGCTTTTTATTTTTACAGGTCACAGGGAAATGCGGTAGTGTACTTGTGCGTCTAATTCCTGCCCCTAGAGGAACTGGAATAGTCAGTGCTCCAGTACCAAAGAAATTACTTACCATGGCTGGTATTGAAGATTGCTACACCTCTGCCAGTGGCGCTACCTCTACTCTTGGTAACTTTGGTAAGTGAATTGGCTGTTTGGAATTTTGTTATATGCATATTTTGCACGAATGTGTACTAATCAGATTTTGCCTTTCACAGCTAAGGCCACGTATGCTGCAATAGCTAAGACTTATTCGTATTTGACACCTGACCTCTGGAAGGAGACTGTGTTCACCAAGGCCCCATACCAGGAGTTCACAGACTACCTGATGAAAAACCACTCCCGTACGGCTGTTCAGCGCCAAGAACAGAAGGTCTACTAACACTAGATCAGAGGGCACACTTTCACCTTTTTTGGTGAATTATTAATGTTCTTGATGTACAGAATGACAACAAAGCTGAAAAAAAAATCTTGACAAAAAACTAGTGAAGATAAATGTTAAATATGGTAATGAATTATTTTTTATTAAATAAATGGTGTCCTTGTGAAAATATTTTGCAGTTCTCAGTTATTTTGTTATTGTGCTGGTCTTTATGTCAAATGGTAGGGAATATGTGATAAATGTCAGTATGGTAATAGCAGTAAATCTGTCTTGCAGTTTTCTTATGCATGTTCCCTTCTGCTTGCATGATTAATATTCCAATTCTAGAGCAGTTTGATGATATCTGGAAATTGGCATTTACTGATTCACATCCAATAAATTGTGCAAATTTGTTTGCTAATTTATACTCATTTAGAGAATGTTAGATTTCAGTTTTTTGCTGCTAGACGACCAAAACAAGTGGTCAATGCTAAATTAAGCACTAGGACTGAAAATGGTTTTCCACATTATACACTTAGACTTGTGTAGCTAGTCTCTCCTTTGTAAAAAGTTTATGGCGTAAATAAAAGCTATGTTTCTCTATTCATTTAATTTACATTTTACAACAAAGACTCAATCTCCCTGTGGTCGAATAGAGTAGCTCCCCTTGCAAGGAACTAGTGTGAAACAAGTTTCTTTAGTACTAGTCAAGTTAAAGGCTACCGAGTTGACTATAATCCTTCCGTCATTGTTGTTGACATTAATCAAAATCGTGTTTTTGTCAATAGTGGCCATAACTTTTTAAAAATAAAAAAATATAACATTGGAATCTGATACAAAAGCTGCGAATTAAGTGAATTTGGAAATATTTCAACATTTAAATTTCTTTTCAATCCAAAGTTATAACATGAAGCTTCACTCCTAATAGAAGCTGAAAAGAAACCAACTCAAAACCCCACATTCTAGTAATTTATGACTTTTGGAGTCTTGTGATGAACATAAAAATGTAACAGTTGTACAGAACATTGGATGCTCAGATTTTGCTCTGTCTGATTACTTCATCATTAAAAATTCTTTTTTTTTAACTAAACCTATCTTTTGAGATACCAAAAATATATCATGTAGGTCAACATTTCTTCTTTCAAAATCAGTTGGTGTTAACCCAACAACTATATGGCGTTTTTAAAACGCGTCAGAACAAATTAGAATACTAAGAAATAGTATAGGGCCTATATAATTTTAATATTTCATAATTTGTTTTATTTCCTGTTCGTAATTCGTTCTAAATGAAGAGATCACATAGGCTACGACTAAAAATAACTGCGTTAATAAAACATACACATACCCGGTACCACAGACTATAGACATGCCTGTATACTGTATAGATACAAAGGTTGTATTTTCAGTTATCTCCCTTGCTGTGCATGCATTTTTACATGAATTATGAATACATTATTAATTTATTTGCTAGTAGGTTATTTCTCGTAGTACTCGTAGTGTTTTAAATTCCTAAATTTGAACTACGGATGCATGACATTAAAATATAAGTGTGCAATGGGGGGGGGGGGGGGGGGTGTTCATATAATATTAAATACGGGGGGGGGGAGTAGGATATTAGTGCTGTTTATTTTTAAATATGTTTCAACTGAATATTAGTAACCATTTATCTGTTTTACTAAAGACTTATCTTGTAACCAAAAAAAAAATTGCATTTAGTCTTGACCCTGGTTTGCTAACAATTTCAGCATCAACTTAATTACGTGAACAGCAGCGATATTCTCAAAAGAAAAGAAAATGCCATGTAAGAAATGTCATTTTAGGTTGGGGGAGGGGAATTAATCGTGACGTAATTTATGGACCACTGCTTGAGTCGCTTTAACCCAAAACTCCCCCCCCCCCCCCCTTCCCACGTTGACCAGTCACTGACGCGAGGCACCATTTGACACCCCCCACCCCCCACGTTCACCAGTCACTGACGCGAGGTACCATTTGATTTGACACTCCCCCCCCCCCCCCCCACGTTCACCAGTCACTGACGAGGCACCATTTGACAACCCCCCCCCCCCCCCCCACTGACGCGAGGCACCATTTAACACCCCCACCCACCACGTTCCCCAGTCACTGAACCGAGGCACCATTTGACACACTTCACTCCCCTACCCCTCACGTTCCCAAGTCACAGACGCGAGGCATTATTTGACACCAGTGGCGTAGCCAGGATCGTCTCAAGGGAAGGGGGGGGGGGTTCCAATTTTTACCCGGGGACAAACTTTCCATTTGCACCCCCCCCCCCCCCTAACTTTCGATTTGCAACCCCCGCTCATACTTTTTATATATATACCGAGGGGTCTATGGGGGGATTTTGACCTCCCCCCCCCCAGCCTACGTCACTGTTTGACACCCCCGTCCCCCGCTGACGCGAGACACTATCCGAGACGTTTTGGGTGAGTGGCTACGACCTGTAAGGCAGGCGGTTAAAATCGTGCCAGTCCAGGCAGATCGATCAACCACGATAATCAATAAACTGCGATCGTACTAATCGAAGATTCAGATTGATAGAACTGTATAGGATTATTTGTCTCTGTATCGGTTGTGTTTAGGTGGAGGGGGGGGGGGTCCAGGTGCAGGTGAACTCACCCGTTTAAACTGGAATAAATAATTAGGTTAATGAGTATGGCTCATTAAGCCTGGACACCTTGATCCTGGTGAGCTGATACTCACGGGTTCATGTGTAGAGATATTGTGTTGGTGGTGAATTTTGTGGGGAGATGGGGGGAGTTTAAATGTTGTGTTGTTGGTGATTTTGTGAGGGATTTTAAATATTGTGTTGGTGGTGAATTTTGTGGGGGTGATGTGGGGAGTTTAAATGTTGTGTTGGTGGTGAATTTTGTGGGGGAGTTTAAATGTGTTGGTGGTGAGTTTTGTGGGGAGTTTAAATGCTGTGTTGGTGGTGAATTTTGTGGGGAGATGGGGGCAGTTTAAATGTTGGTGAATTTTGTGGGGAGTTTAAATGTTGTGTTGGTGGAGAGTTTTGTGGGAGTTTAAATGTTGTGTTGGTGGTGAATTTTGTGGGGAGTTTAAATGCCTTTTAAAGAGATCATCGTTATTGCTGTGGGCCGCAGTATGTCTGTAAGGAGCCCGTGGTATTGTTGTGGGCCGCAGTATGCCTGTAATGAGCCCGTGGTATTGCTGTGGGCCGCAGTATGCCTGTAAGGAGCCCGTGGTATTACTGTGGGCCGCAGTATGCCTGTAAGGAGCCCGTGGTATTGCTGTGGGCCGCAGTATGCCTGTAAGGAGCCCGTCATGTTGCTGTGGGCCGCAGTATGCCTGTAAGGAGCCCTTGGTATTGCTGTGGGCCGCAGTATGCCTGTAAGGACCACGCCATGTTGCTGTGGGCCGCAGTATGCCTGTAAGGACCACGTCATGTTGCTGTGGGCCGCACATAAAAGACGCCGCCTGAGAACATTCAAGTGGCCATGTAAAATCAATAGCGTGGCTAATCAATACTTGGTCAATGACGCAAATCTATTGACTGCTTTCATATCGGAGAACCACACGCACACACACACTACACACATACACACACCCAACTTTATATAAACAAAAAGGTCAACGAAAATAATCTCTGTTTTAGTTATCTTGTAAAATATGTGGTGGGTAGGCTATATTTATTTTTCTACACTTTTGCTCATAATTAGTAAAAAAAAAAATAGACGGCAATAAGCTAAGGGCCAATTAGTTCAAAGATTTTCATTTTTAATCATAAAATATAAAAGTAAAGTAAGCTACGTATGATAATCCTCAGTTTAAAAAACACTAGCAACGCTTTACTTAGATTAGTCTGCGGTAATAATGTTGGATAATGCCGAATAAATCTTAATCTTGCGAATTTTCTAAGCGTCCTATGAAATAAGTATAGTTTTTTTTTTTTTTTTTTTTTTTTTTTTTTTTTTGTAGGCCACTATTTGATGGTACGTTTGTAAAAATCCTGTCTATAATAACTAACCTGACAAATCAATATGACAAGTTTAACAGTGAGTGACATCGGCAGACATATCACACGCGTCATACATGACATGTGTCATACAAACATGGGGAGCTATACAAACTTGTTATGGGTGGCATATAAATAAATGGCGTGTATCATACAAACATGTATAAATGTGTATAATTATAATTATTTATATAATTACATGTTTTAACACATTTTTCACAGAGCCCTTCTTACACAGATGAGCTAGAAAAACAAAATGAAATAACTTTTTAGTTTTTAGCCTATTTTCCCAGAACGTCATGCGATTTAAATTATTCACAATTGTTAATTATAATGGGAGCGATGACCCCCCCCCTCCCCACACACACACACATACTCCAACACACGGGAGACCACCAAGAATATGACGTGCCACAAAATTACCCACGACTAATTTTAGCCTATCCCCCACTACACAAGTTGTAACTTCACAACATCGAAATACACAGTTTGTGATACTACTTCAGATTTTTTTCTATATACACGGTAGGGTATAATACTGTATACACGGTAGGGTATAATACTGTATACACTCAGAGGCGTAGCGAGAGGGGGGGGGTGCGGACCGCACCTGGTGATACATTTAGGGGGGTGACACCAAGGCAAAAATTAGAAAAATATATAGAGAAAAATGATAATTCCACTTAATTAAGTGATTAATTCGAGTTTTAAATAGTCTTTTAAGAGGTGCAAATCGAAAGTTTGAGGGGGGGGGGGTGCAAATCGAAAATTGAAAGTTTGTCGCTACGCCTCTGGGGGTGACACCATTAAGTGCCCGCACCGGGTGACACCCGACCTCTCTACGCCACTGTATACACTGTAGGGAATGATATAATACCGTATACACGGTAGGGTATAATACTGTATACGCGGTAGGGAATAATACTGTATACACGATAGGGTATAATACTGTATACTCGGTAGGGTATAATACTGTATACTGAGTAGGGTATAATACTGTATACACGGTAGGGTATAATACTGTATACACGATAGGGTATAATACTGTATACTGGGTAGGGTATAATACTGTATACACGGTAGGGTATAATACTGTATACACGATAGGGTATAATACTGTATACTGGGTAGGGTATAATACTGTATACACGATAGGGTATAATACTGTATACTCGGTAGGGTATAATATTGTATACTG